TTTCTTTTTCGTCCAACAACTGCTGTAATCTCTCTTCTTGTTTCTTTTCTTTTTCCTCCAACAACTGCTGTAATCTCTCTTCTTGTTTCTTTTCTTTTCCTCCAACAACTGCTGTAATTTTTCTTCTTGTTTATTTTGCTGTTCGAGCTGTCACTGTTGCAGGTTTTCTTGCCACTGCTGTTGTCTCTCTTCTTGTTTTTTTCTTTTTCCTCCAACAACTGCTGTAATCTCTCTTCTTGTTTCTTTTCTTTTTCCTCCAACAACTGCTGTAATTTCTCTTCTTGTTTCTTTTCTATTTCCTCCAACCACTGCTGTAGTCTTATTTCTTGTTTATTTTCTAGTTTCTTTTGCAGTTCTTGTATTGCTGCCATCAAATCTGCTAAGTCGTAGTTTGATTTGCCACTTCTCATTTCCATTTTTTTTCTTTCTTTTCCGTCCCACTCTCTGACACCAATTTGTTACGTCTCTGGTCGTTTGTTAATTACCCATAAAAATTCTTTCCGAAGAACTTCAGTGATACAAGTCCTTAGTTAAATAAAACTAGTTTATTCTTTCTCAATTCAACTTTGCAATACACTTAATTTCCACAGTCACTTTAACTTAAACACACACTATAATTCACAATGATTCACACACTTTACTTACGGTGCCTACCGCCCGCTTGACTCGATTATCCGTGTCTATATCTTCAATCTCTATCTGAAACTAACCTTGCTGGCTTATATACAACAAAAGCGGGCAACTAGCAAATGCTAGGACGTTCAACAAGTTCCTCCGATCTTTCTAGAACTCCAGCGCATGCTCCCAGCTTCGTGCGACTTCCGCTGTCGTAACAATATTGAGAATAAAAAAAATAATGTCAAAGTGCATGCACAAACAAATACTATCCAGAAATGACACATCATGTAGCCTGTTAACTGTTTATATATTAGTGGTGTATTTCTTGTGGGTTCTAGAACGATCGACAAGACTCTCACGTGGCAATTGTTCTAGAGAAATCTATAGCAAGTGGTTGTCAGTATTTTAAGCGTAACAAAATGTGACCCAATTTCATTGAAAATGATTCACTTATGTAAAAGTACATATAACGTATTGTGAAAAATCTGTATGTGATGCAGAAAAATGGATGTCATTTTCAGATTCAGGGTACAGGAATTACTGTAGAACATGTAAAAATTTCCAGACAGTAAAACCATTGCAAGCTTGTGTAATTAAAATAAGAAAATATTCATCATGTTCTTATTATGGGGGATGATATTTAAGGGTTCAAAAAATCTGATCACCAACTTAAATATTCACTACTTTTTCTCAAGAACTTATTTAGATTATAATCCAGTAATCCTTTTGTTAATTATCTTGTAAATATTTTTTTTTGTGAATTAATGTTAAAACTTGACTGAGAGAAAGCTTAATAATGTTGTAACTAATGCAATTTTTAGTGGATCAACACTTAGTAATTGTAACGTACTGTATAAAACTTATAAACTTAGATTTTTTTGTTCAATATTTTTGTAACATTATTTTGTAATAACTTGTCTTACTCACTTTTTAATTTTTTTGGGTTAGATGTAATAATTGACGACAGTTTGGTGATTGTTGGAACATGTGGTTATTTAGATGGGGTAGATGTACTAGTTAATGACAGTTTGATAATTGTTGGAACAGGTTGTTAGTTAGATGGGGTAGATGTACTAATTAATGACAGTTTGATAATTGTTGGAACAGGTTGTTAGTTAGATGGGAGTAGGTTTACTGAATGATGACAGTTTAATAATTGTTGGAATAGGTTGTTATTTAGATGGGATAGATCTACTAATTGATGAGTTTGATGATTGTTGGGATAGGTGGTTATTTAGATAGGGTAGATATATTAATTGAATACAGTTTGGTGATTGTTGGAACAGGTGGTTATTTAGATGGGTTACATGTACTGAATGATGATGGTTTAATTATTATTGGAACAAGTGATTATTTAGATGGAGTAGACTAACTGAATGGTGACAGTTTAATAATTGTTGGAATAGATGGTTATTTAGATGAGGGTAGATGTACTGAATGATGACAGTTTAATAATTGTTTGAACAGGTAATTATTTAGATCGTGTACATGTATTGAATGGTGACAGTTTAATAATTGTTGGAATAGATGGTTATTTAGATGAGGGTAGATGTACTGAATGATGACAGTTTAACAATTGTTTGAACAGGTGATTATTTAGATCGTGTACATGTATTGAATGATGACAGTTTGATAATTGTTGGAATTGGTAACTGGATGGGGTAGATTTACTGAATGGTGACAGTTTAATAAATGAACAAGTGATTATTTAGATAGAGTAGATGTACTGAACAATGACAGTTTAATAGTTCTTGGAACAGATGGGATAAGTTCAGTAATATGTCTGTTTAATGTTTTTTAAGGACTCTGTGAGGTGTCAAAAGATGCTAGTTTGATTTTGTGTATGTATAGGAAAGTAGGCTTGTATAGGAAGACAGGTGTTTAGAGCTATAATAATTTTGTGCAAGTACACGTTGGAATTCAGTATATAAGGGGTAGTGCTTACGTCTTTTGATGTGAACAGTTTTCAGTGTACATGTAATATGGTGTGGTTGCATAACTGTTTGTATATGAACTTCAAAGTATATGTTCAATTCTACCTAGTCTATTCCTTTACATTTGGCACTTAAGACCACTGCCAAGTTCTCATAGAATAAATGAAGTCTCAGAGGTTTGCTCTTAAGTTTAAAACATTAAACATTTGAGTGCATCAAGTTTATTGTGAAATTAACTTTTAACTAGTTGTGGCTT